ATATATTTCCAACTCATTCCCGTGATAGACATTAGTGATGCCTGCAGAGAGGGTAAATGATAAGCGAAAGCTTTTAATGATTCCAAAACCTTGACAAAAGGTGAGGTATTGGCAGGATACCTTTAATAGGACATCACCTATCTAAGCGTAGAAGTGTGGGCCGCTTCAAAATGACAAACACTTATGAATCCAAGATGTGCTCCAGGGCCAAAATGGACGCAACCATGAGAACTGATGAAATGTGGGAAAACTATTGTGTGGATATCATTGTCTTGGTTTACACAAACGGCTGGCAGTTCAAGACATCGCGTTAACTTATTAGCCAAGTAAATCAGATGGTATACCGCTAAGGAAGGTTCAAAGCCAAAAGCTACCTATCCCCATTGCAATAGTATCCAATTGAACTCTCGATAGAATCCATCGTTTTTCGTTAATTTCATTCATGTGGGGGATTGTTGGAAATTTTATTTATTAAAATAAAATTATTTTTGAATGGAAATTAAAAAATATTTTTAGGCACCTATTTGATTAAATAGGTGTGAAAATATGAAGAGGTGCGGCCACACCTCTTCACTTGTGTTATTTCCTAAGGGTTGTGTTCATTAATGACAACCATTGGAAACTTATAAATAGAAACTCCACGTGTTTGATTTAAACAACATAAAAATCAATTCAATTCCATAATTTTTTTCTATGGAATTCTTCTTTCTTTAAGCCCGGAAATATTCTTCGTAGAATATTTTCTTCTGTATTCGATTCGAGAGTTTGAGACACAAAGTAACGTTCGTTGTACTCGGGATTTTGAGTGCTCATATGCCGAGTTAGCCGTTGTATCTTGGGAGACCATTGTCAAATAACCGTAAGCACCGTAGCGGGGCAATATCGTCTTAAGGAAAGAGTATTCTCGCCTCGGCTAATCTTTTCGTACTTTCACTAATTAATTTGTTCGACCATTTTACTAAATTCACTACCCGTTTTATATACCGGGAACAACAATAATAACATAATTTGCCTCACCCATGTCAACCATCATAATATTCTTGGAAAGATAATTCTTGGTTTCATGGAGTAAACCAATATCTCTATTGACTAGTAAAATATCATCTACATACAAAACTAAAAAGATAAACTTGCTCCTACTTACCTATAGCTATATATACACGGATCAACATCAAATTTTGCGTTTGGCATATCGAGAAAGGGGGGGATGGTTTTGCAACACACACACAATTTTATTCTTTGTTAAAATTGGGATGAGAGAGGTTTATGGAAATTTAATTTGGTAGATAGAATTTTGAGAGGTTTGATTTGAATTAATTAAGGGATATTTTTTTGCCACAATATGAACAATGCATGTAATGAAAATTGAGACTTATGTCTTAAAATTATTCACATAGAATCTAATATAGAGGCACCCTATAGCAAATTCTAATTAGGATGGAAAGTCGGATGTAGGGGTGGTAAACGAGTTGAGCCACCTCATGAGCTCGATTAGCCGGCTCGAAAAAAGCTCGAACGTAAGTTTTTTGAGCTCGAGCTCGAGTTTTTTGATGATTTGAGCTCAAGTTTCTTTAAGTTGTTCTTGAGCTCATGATAAGTGTTCGTTTTGCACAACTTTTACTTATCTAATCTTCGTGTTTTGGTCTTCATTCGTCCGAGTTTTCGGCTTTATTTGTATATATTATGTTGTTTTTGTTTTATTTATATTTTAGGTAAAGAGAAGCTATTTTTGCCGATTCGAAACGATTTTGGAAGCGAAGCCGAGAACCAAACCAAACACGTGCAAAAGTGCATTCTCGCGGATTGTGGCAGTGTTTGGTATTTCAAGCATAACTTTTGCATACGACCTCCGATTGGGCTGATTCAACTGGATTTAGAAAGCTAACTTCAAGGGCTACAACTTTTGTGAAATGCACAATTGTCGAATTCGGGTTGAAAAAGGGTGAAAAAAGTGTTTGAAGTTGATGCAGAGGCCAGATCGCGATCCAGAATCACCGGATCGCGATCTGGTGGCAAATTCCAGTAGCAGCGAAAAGTTGGGGCAGATCGCGATCCGCACTTCCTGGATCGCGATCTGGGAAGGCGGTGGGCAGTTTTCGAGGTTGCCAGATCGCGATCCAAGAAGCCCAGATCGCGATCTGGGCACAGAAATCGAGACTAGATATTTTTCTTTGATTTTTCACTATAAATAGAAGGTCTCTTTTTCATTTTTCAATCTCTCGACATCTCGATTATCGCTCGACTATCTCTCGACTTCTTCTTCGGTTTTCTCTTCGGTTCTCGCCAGTTCTTCGCGGGAAGCTTCGACGAGGGTTTCGACTCGGGTTTTTCATAAGCTTTTCTTTACGTTTAGTTTATGATTTCTCGTGTTCTTCATTTGAATGCTATGTTTGTAATGAACTGAGCATTTTCTTTTAGGGAAATGAAACCTTGTATATATTGATTTTGATTTCCAGATCTGTGATCTATTTGTCGTTCTTTGATTCTGTTTATGTTTTCCTGTATTAAATGCTTTCGATTGTTTGGCCAACAGTTGAATTGATTGTAAATGGGAATGAACTCGAGAGAGGATTTCTCGTTTGATTTTAGGAAAACATAGCTCGGGTTGTGGAAACGGAGACGTGATGCACCTCGGGTAGCCCTTAAGGACTTGACCTAAATGCTCTCTTAATATCAGGTTCTGAACGGAGACGTCGGACCTGTGGGTAGACTCTAACTACACTGGAGACGGGGGTTAGGGTATTTTAGTGTCTGGGTTAGCGAACATAGAATTGACAATAGATTCGGATTTGTAGATCTTTATCGATAGTACACTGGTGGATTTTACCCTAGAAGCCATCACACGTCGGAATTCCTTGCTTGTCCTGGCTGACCGGTGTTTTTATTATTGGTTCATTTTAGCTTCATGTCATCTCCCATCTTTTTCTCCCGTCTAGATAAAGTTTAGGATAGTATAATTACGGTACTTGGTAGATTTAGGAACTTAATTCCCTGTGGATCGATATCTGGAATTCACTATTCTACAAAACGCGATACTGTACACTTGCGGTTTTTCATACGTAGGTTTTACGCGTATCAGCTCACGAGCCTTATTATATTTTTTAATTTCTTTATATATTATTTTTTACATAAATAATGTATAATAATATAAAATATTATAGAAATAATATAAAAAGAACATATAAATATCAAAAAATACATATAATTACAATTTATTGTTTGGTTTTGAATTTTTTTTATTATAATCTAAATAATGTTTAATATTAAAAAATAATAATAATTAAAAAAATACAAAAGTGAGCTTGGGATCGAGGCCAAAATAAAAATAAAGAATCGACGAGCTCGATAACCAAAACTACTAGTATGATAAATTATACTATTTAAGAAAAAAAAAAAACACTATAATGATTCTAATTGCAGTAGACTCCTCTTTTCAAATACCACAAAATATTAACCATGAAAAGGATAAAATCGAAATTGGATTTTTTCCATGTAAGATAACTAAAGGGAGAAATTATGACTTTTTGTGGTAATAGCAAAAGAAATACTTTAACATCCAACATGGTTCATAAGGTAAATTAGATATGAAATCAAAATTTTCAAATATTTTTGGAGTTTTTTTTTTCATAAGTCTCTGACCAACCATCTTTATTATTTTACGTTCAGGGGTTATATTTGTTTCGCCAACAAGCCCATCTCTTTAATATGTATCATAAATAAAGGACAAATTAATGTATATGAGAAACTTACCCCCCAACTAGACACGGCCACAGGGTGAGTCGGGTCTGGATCCGAGTCGGACCCGCCGGGTCCGGGTCCGACTTTTAGGGGACCCGAAACCGCCCCGTGGGGAGGCGGGTCCAGGTCCAAAACGGTTTTCCTTATTTTTTTTTCTCCAAATAATTACAAGAAAGAAAAAAATTAAATTTAAACACTAAACAATTTTAGAAAAAAAATGAAATGATTAAGGCCTTGAGATATAAACTAAATAAAATGAAAGTTGTGAAGATTGGATTAGGGGTAATTATAAGTGAAAAAAATAATTGAGAATTTTTTCAAAATTTCAAAATTAAAAAAAAAAAAAAAAAAAATCAAAACTCAATCTTTCTTTTAAATTAAATCGTAATTTTTTATATTTTTCAAAATTATATATATATATATATATATATATATATATATATATATATATATATGCATTTGTTATTAGTGGAGATTTTTAATATTAATAATAGCATGAAAATTAATAATTTATTAAATATTAGTTATACAATTATTATAATCATTTTACTGTGTTATTTATATTTAGAGTTAGGATTATTATAACAATAAGTAACTTTGCCCGAGTTGTTAGTACTCTGCTAAATCACTTGGGCCACCTGTGTTTGAACGCCAAATTTGCTTCTTTTTGGCCTGCTTTTTCCGCCGTCGGTCTCCGGCATTGACTTTTTTTTAGTGTTTTTTTTTTCCTAAAATTTTTATCCGTTTTTTTACGACCGCCGCTGAACATTGACCGTAATTGTACTGTCATTCACAGTAATTATACTGTCGCCGACAGTACATTTGCGTAATTGTACTGTACCACTACAACAAAAAACCTCTATCGAGACACAGATAAGTGTCCCAAAATGGTACATATTGGGACATTTGCAGTTTTCGGGACACTTGTTGCAAATGTCGCGTGTATTGGTGTCGCATAAAGTTTTGGGACACTTGAAGTGTCCCTATATTGTATTTTATTGGGACAATTATATATGTCATATGAATATAGTTATAGGATACAAATAAGTGTCCTGTTATGTGATTCCATAGGTAGTGATCCATTCTGTAGGGACATTTATTTGTGCCTTCATATAGAGGACATTTATACACGTGTCTCAAAAAATTGATATTAGTACATGCTATAAGCTCCCATAAGTGAATATTAATACGTATAATATACCATTTCTTCTTAAGCCTAAAAAAATAATATAGAAAAATACAAGTACAAAGAATGGAGGAGATAAATAAAATGTAATTCATTTATTAATAATCAATAATTAATACAATGTATTTCCATGAGATACAAAATCCAACTAATATATCTTGGCAAACCTATAACATATAGAACAGACCTCTAGCCTCTAGATAACACTTGCACACTACCACAGCTTGTTTCGTTCTCAAATTTTGTTCTTTTCCATTGTGATTTGATCATTTTCCTACTTTCATCTTTGAAATCACCCTGTACAAGATCACAGAGGTCACAATTAGAGCAAAAATACGACAACTTGAAAGATTCGGATCCATAAAAAATAGTGAACCATTACAAATCATGCACCAATAGAGTAGTATCATCATGAAAATGAACTAACATCCAAATCCAACAGTGACATGTGAATTTAAATTTATCTTGAAGTACTATAATTACACTAAAGAAATTTACGCACACAATGACTACACCATGCGATAAGTAGTTCTATTATATGGAAACACAAGAAACACAAGTTCTCAAAAGTTAAAACATCACATGAAACATATACTAGTTTACCTCATAGCTAAACTTGTAGGGCTTCAATTGCTAGTCAGTCACATGTTTATCCCGAAGAAATGTACTTGTGCATTGGTTCTGGTTAAAGCCAACAGATCAATTTAAATGTAAAGGAAAACAATGAAACTAAAACAGTTCAGTACGATACGAGACAACATCTTTAGGACATGATAAGAGCTCCATTGCCTCAAGCAGAAAAACAAAATACAAATACATATACACCATTTCATACACCTTCTTTTTATTAAGACTGGAAAGTAGGACGACATCCTTATGTATCCCCGGTAGGAATATGCCCAACATCAATATATTTTTTTTTCCGATCAAATGAACGAACCAAACTCTTTGGGCTAAATGAATGAACAAAAAAGAACGAAACCGCTGCCTACAGCTGGTTCATTAATTTTATACGAGTAACAAAGAAAATAGACGTCCGTATAAACGAAATCCTAAAAGAAAAATAACTGTAATAATTATTAGAAAATACCTCATAAATGATTAAATATCCAAGGTAATACAAAATAACTCCCAGTTGATGAACTCCTGCACCAAAATTCAATTTTGAGTCATTCTATCTTGTGGCCTACACTAAATACAATGTAAAAAAAAAAGTATTAGAATCCAAGAAACTTGATAGCCAAAACATATACAAAATCAAGGAAAAGAATTCTCTATCCCAGTATTAGAATTTCCATATAGAGATGAATCAAATAAGTGGTAACCAAAATATGAATAACTAAGAAAATCAATTGCAATTTATGTGCGCGTAAGCATCTATACCTCTTTTGTTCCAAAATTTCTCTATCCCGGCACAGAGAATGCAATAACAGAGTGCAATAACATAGGGTTATTAAGAAACCCAAATTTAGGATACAAAATATGGGGAATAGGCCTTGGATTTCGTGATTGAAAAGGGGAATTACATAGTGAGATTATTAATTAGCAGAACGAGTACCTCGTGCGCATCCATGAAAAACTTCAGCCGCCTCTCGTGGATCCCTAAATAGCTCTCTTCAAATCTGGCAAGGACGAGTTGGTAGCGCTTCTAATTGCGCAGGTTAGCATTGAGGATTGAAAATCCACAATCGTGCTCCTCGTGGGTGGTGGCGCAGTAACTGGGTTGGGGGTGGATTTTTCTTTCTGCCGAAAGAGAACACCATAAGATAGGGTATATTGAAAATACAAGGTCAAATATATAAAATATTCCCGGTAATTAATTTTAGATAAAAGTGTCTCTACAAACTAATTAATTGGGACAAAATGTTAAAGTATCCTAATATATTTACATACGGGACATATATAAAAAGATGTCCCTAATTAAGTGTCCTAATATATACTTGTTGTAGTGTGTCGTTGACAGTACAATTACTGTCAACCACAACAATATTATTCTTTTTTGTTTTTTTTTTGTTTGGTTTGTTGATAAGTCAACGTAATTATATTACTGTCGTTGACGGTAAAAATACTGTAAAAATAATAATATTACCGTCAACCACATCAATATTATTATTTGTTTTGACTTTATTGTTTTGTTCGATTTGTTGACCGATTAACGTAATAATATTACTGTCTACTATTGTAATATTACTGTAAACACAATAATATTACTGTGGTTGACGGTAATATTATTGTTGTTACAGTAATATTTCTATCAACCACATCAATATTACTTCTTTAGGTTTTTTTTATTATGTTTGCTTTCATTGAACAGTCAAAATACTAAAATTACTCTAGTACACAATAATAGTGATTTTTGTTGTGTTAATATTATTGTGCTAGAGAGTAATATAGTAATATTATTGTGTTAAACTATAATATAGTTACACAGTAATATAGTTAAAATGACTGTCAACCACAGCAAAATTGATGTTTAAACAGGGAAAAATGTTAAAGTAAAAAATTATTCAAAAAAAAATGAAAAAGTGAACGACGGAAACTAGCGGTAAAATAAGGAAAAAAGAATTAAAAAAGTCAACGCCGAAAACCGACGGAAAAATCAGGAGAAAAGAAAAAAAGAAAAAAAAAAAAAAAGTCAACGGCGACGACGGACGAAATTGTACTCAAAATTAAGTTGTAGGTCAAAATGGAATAATTTGTGAAATTAACATATTAAAATGTGATGGGGTATTTTAGTCTTTTACAAATATCTGAACAATATGTGAACTTTTTTGTGAAATTATTTTTTATTTGGACCGCTTTTATAAATGAGCATGTCATGATGGGCTTATTTGGTCCATATTTTAATATAATTCCAATCCAAAAATGTTGGAAGTTTTCGAAGAAAAGTTGAATGAAAAAAGTTGTTTCAAAATTGGAACTTTTCGAATCTAAACGGTGGGAAATTGAAAATTTTGTTCCAACTTTGAGCCTTAATTGTAATTGTTTGAAAAAAATTAAGAATCAAATTGGAAATATGAATTTAAAGTTAGAAGGCGTGGGAGAACAAAATGTCACGTGACCCCTTTTGTATCTTGTAGTGTTTGTACATAAACGATTAAGCCACAATCTGTTGATGGAATTGTAATAATAAAAAATAAAGAAGATGGAGAAACAGCAGGCACCATCAAAGAGCTGGAGCATCTATAGCCGCAGTGAGATCACCTCAAAGTATGAAATATCGGGGCGCGTGGGGTCCGGTGCATACTCCGACGTGTACAAAGCCCGGCGACGCTCCGATTCGGTGATGGTGGCCCTGAAAGAAGTCCATGATTACCAATCGGCATTCAGAGAAATTGAGGCACTTGAAACCCTAAAGAACAGCCCGAACATCGTAGTCCTCCACGAGTACTTCTGGAGCGAGGATGAAGGCGCCGTATTGGTGCTCGAGTACTTACCCACCGATTTGGCCGCCGTCGTAAAGTCCGCCGCCAACAAGGATGGGATCATCAGTGTTGGTGAGGTTAAGCGATGGATTGACCAGATTCTCCGCGGCGTTGACTCCTGCCACCGTAATTCGATTGTTCATAGGGATTTGAAGCCCTCTAATTTGCTGATTTCTTCTGATGGGGTTCTCAAAATTGCTGATTTTGGGCAGGTCAGATTTTGGTTTTTCTCCTTTTATTATTGTGTTTGTGCTTCTTATAGATTCTCCAAAACCTTTTATTTGACTGAAGATATGATGATGATGTTTCATATGAATGCACTTTGTCAAGAAATTGAGATAATTGGAAAAATGATATATTTCAAACACCAATACTCTGCATAATAGTCCTAATTCCTAAGTTGAGATAGCGAAAAACTTTTAGACAGGCTTATCTGAACAATTTGCCACCAACTGCCTCGTTGAAATGTATATCAAGGGTAACATCCTTTTCCCATGCTACTTTTTGAATGAAAATATTCAATAATCGCCTCTGTTTCGTTGTTCTGTGGTAGAAGGGATCCATATTTAGCTTTATACTTCTGTTTGTTGCAATTATTTTACCGTTGTTAGTAGAATTTGATCTTGGGATCAGATAGATACCTATCTTTCTTCTTACATTGTAATTGTCAAATTCTAGGAATTGGTTAAAAAATATCTTCACTGCAAAATGCTCGAGCCAAGCTAGCATTACAAATCTTCCAAAGATGATTTCAGATTTTCTTTATAAATGATTAGGACTATTTCATGTTAAGAATTAAGTTATTGTAATTTACGAAGGATACATAATAAAGTCCATTTAGATTTTTGGTGGCACATTTTCTGGTTACTTATATTACAGGAAGGAAAGTGATTTTTTTTTCTTGATCTGCATCGAATACGATTATTTGTATATGTGAATTTATTTAGATTGTAAAACGTTGACTGGAAGTCGGCATGGCTGTATATGTGCTTGAGATATTAAAAAGTTTTAATTTTTTCTCATCATGTTAAAAAGTTGACCAATATTTACAACTGCAGCTAAATATCTTTATAAATCTCTCTGTTCAGGCTAGGATACTTATCGCACCTCAATTTACGGGCAACAGTCATACGTATAATCAGTTTGATGAGCAGCTTTCTTCAGATCCAGCACCCGAAGTTGATCCAACGGTAGACAGTAGTCAATTCATCCAAGAGCACGCAGAACAACTGCACAGAGAAAAATACATTTTAGAGCCGGTTGATAACATGAGAACCAACGACTTCACAAACGATATCGATGAAGAGAGTGTAACTCACGATGGGGCAGCTTCTTGTGTTGCCACCTGTACCACTAGTGATCTAGAGGATCCTTTTCAACAGTCTTGTTACTCTTATGAATCTGAGGTGGTCGGGATTGATGGGAATGGTTCTCTTACATCGTGTGTTGGTACACGCTGGTTTAGAGCACCTGAGCTACTTTACGGGTCCACAAGTTATGGTCTCGAGATTGATCTTTGGTCACTTGGTTGTATTTTTGCAGAGCTTTTCAGCCTCGAACCCATTTTTCCAGGGAATTCAGATATTGACCAGTTGGGTCGAATCTTTAGCATTTTGGGGAACTTGACAGAGGAAGTTTGGCCTGGTTGCGTACAACTTCCTGATTATAAGATAATTTCATTTGGTAAAGTAGAAAAGCCGATTGGTTTGGAAGCGTGTCTTGGGAATCGATCTTCTGATGAGGTACTTGTTGTAAAAAAGCTATTGTGTTTCGATCCTGTGAGTAGGGCTACTGCAGTGGAGTTGCTTAATGGCAAGTATTTGAATGAAGAGCCTTTTCCAGTTCCTTTATCTGAGTTGAGAATCCCTTGTAAAGATGACGAGGATTCCTCTGTTGAGTGGAATGATTATAATAAGGATTTTGGATCCGATTCTGATTTTGATGAATTTGGTTCTTCGCACCTCACCACCACAGAAAATGGATTTTCGATCCGGTTCTCATGATTTGGTGGAGTTGGGAAAACGAGAGCCAGTATTTTGCAATATGCAAGAATTGAGTGACAAAACATACATATTTATGTTTGTCACCATGCCTGAGTAATTAATTACTTGAGAAAGGAGCAAATGTGGTAATGCCATTGAAACTCAATACTATTATTTATTTGTTATGTCTGTGTATGGGCATGGGTTTCTTATCTGTGTTGTATCATGTACAATTGATCTGAACAATTTTGTGTAATTGTCTTCATTTAGTTTCGTTTTGTAAGAGAGAGTTCAAAAGGCGCTAATCAGAGACTGGCTGTTTCGGCGTTGATGAATTCAGTAAATCCGATTTCGTGTCAATCAAAATAAACATTTTCTACCTGTTGAGTGTGATATATATTTTTTTTCTCATGTAAATATTTAATTGCGTAACGAACTGAGCACAGCCTCTCTTGTGCAGTAAATTTGCAGAGAGAGAGACAGAGTGTGTTTGTGTAATACGATTGTGCTTCCAATCCCACAAGATACGAAAAAAGTGAATCATATTAATGTGGCTTCGTACATCGTAAACATTTACTAATATATGCTACCCTATTGTTGCGATAATAGATTGTATATAATCAACGTAGTAGCACAAGGAAGTGATTTGTATTAGGAGTATTCTTGAGGAAGGAGGGCTATCTCAATTTCATGAAGTGATTTTCCTTTGGTTTCGAGCACATTTCTCTTTATGAAGACCACTGCCAGCAAACAGAATCCACCGAAAATCGAGTACAATAGCTGAGGACCCATCTGCTCAAGCAAACGCAAGAACAATAACCCCACCAGAAAATTTAACACCTACACAAGTAACAGGGGTGAATATTATTAATTAGAAAAACAACCCTCTTGCAATTTTAGTTTTTTTTTTTTCTTAATCGAGTGAGTAAAGACATTATTAGATACAAAGAGTATATTACCCAATGCACAGACATACAAAATGCCAAAGCTTTAGCTCTAATTCGGCTGGGAAATATTTCTGGGAGTAAAAGGCCAGGTACTGGACCAGCTCCAACAGCAAACATTAAGACAAACCTGATAGAGAAGAATATATCAACTTTCTTTGGTGCTCGAATGTGATTGAGCACCATTTTAGACAGAGTCCAATCTAGCATGGAAGCATCTGACGATTACTTGCCAATTTCATTGCTTAGCCAAATAGGTCATTCATTACATGAAATCAATATAAAGCATCGGAAACCGTTTCCGAAAATAAAAAAAACTTACATCAGCATTCCACTCGTAGATAGATAAAAACCAAGAGGACCTGAAGCTGGCAAAGATGATGCGAGAACTTGAATAACTGTTGATACAGCCTGATGAGGGGTAAAATAGTAACAAATGCGTTACTCATCTAATTAATGATTTTCCAAGTTTAGCACAGACATTCATCAATTCTAGAAGGAGAAGAATAAGTTGCAATGCAAATGCAATACAAAAAGGACGGAGTCGTGTTGCAATTGGTAAATATTTAACATTTGGTGTGACGTTTTTACCATGCCAAAGAAGCTCCAGAGGAGGAGGGCCTTTCTTCCTAGTTTATCCATCAACACCAACGCAATAAAAGAACCTGTATATAATTAATTATATGTAATCATAAATATACAAGCTGAAACATATTGCAGATGCCTGAGGGGAAGAAAATAATATAATAATAATATATTCACCTATCATATTTGCAACCCCCACAGAAACATTTGCCAGGTTCGAGGAAACTCCAGCGCGTCTAAATACAGTTGCAGAGAAATAAAACACAGCATTTATTCCAGAAAGCTGTTGTAAAGCAAATAGGGATGACCCAATAAAAACAACTGCAAAAAAATAGTGTGAATAACCGAACCGAGCGTTTAGGTTGAAATGTAAAAATCAGTAGAAGAGAAGAATATACCTCTGCCGTGCCTTCCACAGAGCATTTCTATGAGGGATATGGTATCAACTTCATCTCCTCTGTCTGTTTTGGACAGCTCTACCATTGCAGCTTTCGCATGTAAACCTCCAACAAGCTTCTCAAGTTCAGCTTCAGCTTCCTCAGTTCTTCCTTGCTACAACATTCGACAAAACTACATGATAACAGGACTCAAAAGCTATTTTGCATCATTTTAATATTCAAATGACCACAAAATATTTTCTGTAGAGAGAGTATACGGAAACTGATTCCAGGAAAACAGAAAACTTTAAATAGGAAACTGACGCCTTTGCAAGTATGTTACGTAAAGTAGAAAACGTAACGATATTACAGGTTATTTTCGTAATGCTGATTCAATTCAATAAAATAGTGCAGGTGAAAACCTTGTAGAGCCACTGTGGAGATTCAACACAAAACGCCATTAAAAGAGCTAGCATCGAAGCTGGAATGGTTGATACCCAAAAGCAAACGCGCCACCTGAGAAAGTACACATAGATGAGGTTAATTTCATCACCGTTTCTCTTTCTTTGCCAAAAAAGAAGCTTAATAATCCGTCAAAAGTTAAAGAATACATTTACCAGCCAAAGATATTACTGACGGGAATCCCAATCAATAGTGCGGCCATGAACCCAAAACAAGTTGCTATCTGAATAAAGCTCCCGTACGTACCCCTCACATGCGCAGGTGATATCTACATGTAAGTCAAATTTATGGTTAAGATTTATTCTTGTTTTTACAAGCACTGCACTAACTGCTGCGAAAAATTAAAGTTTGTATTATACCTCTGTGACATAAAGAGATGCAACTGGGGGACCCACACCCAAACCAGTACCAACTAAAAACCTTCCCAGCAACATTCCTGACAAACTTGTAGCCACTGCACTGGAAATAATAGTACAGGTGGTGGTACCACCTCTTTCAATATCGAAGATCAAAATGAACAAACCGAACGAAATAAATGATCTATTTAATATCACATGATATGTCAAGCATATTGAGAATTTGTATGGAAAAAGGCGTCACGTATGTTGACTGTGAGAATATACTATTACTACTAGAGAATAGAGCTAGAGAAGGTCATTCGTATAAAACAAAAATTGAATTAAGTTAGGTAGTCCCTTTTCAAAAAGATACAAAAACTAGTGACAAACATGTGACAACTGAGATTAAAATTTGGTGTTTTATCAAGTAAAATGAGTTTTAAGTACCAAATGGAAGCTCCGACAAGCATAGGCAAAGCACACAACTGAAAAGATCTACGACGCCCAATCCCGTCAGCAATCCAACCACTCATAAGGGATCCAAGAAAAGCACCAGCAAGACAAGTACTAACCACCAAACCTGTTTGTTTTACAGTATCAAAAAATCAAACTCTGAACTTCTAGCATCAATCAGTAACAAGATGTAGAGCTCCATCACTTTACCTTCTTGCATGGTGTTACCGTGAAAGCCAAGATCAACAGAAATTGTTTCAAGTGGTTCGTTTACAACTCTGAGAAGATCAGATTTCAGTTACGAAAAGAACAAAATTTGAAATATCTGAACATGTAAGAATAGTAGAATGAAATGGAAGTTTACGAACAAACCCAAGATGATAGCCAAATAAGAAAGGAACTATAGTAGCCACGAGTACGTGCGGTAAGGAAAGCTTCCATGGTGGACTTGTAATATCTTGCTCCAAACTTCTCTGTAAACTATCTGAACATATTTAACAGCAAAAAATGTTTAAGAGTACACATTCATTCAGATATGTATACCAATATGCAGTTAAACTTGAATGAAGAGATACGAAACAATTTCCACGGGAAAAAGCATTGCACACTTACTAACATTGCTGTGAATACTAGAATAAAAAATATGCTACAGCTCGACATGGATGCACAACTCTAATAAAATTATCTTAACCACATAAATTCAAGATAGAAAACAAGAAAAAGGTAGATAGCGTTATGGTAAATTTACCCGCATTATCTTCAATATCATTAATGTAATCCCTCGGTACCATCACACGCTTATGCATTGACGAGGATCTGTCGAACTTCCCAAACATTCTGAATCTAAATATTTTTTTCCTGCAAAATCTGCAAAATCACAACAGCTAAAAACTCCAAAATACATTTAATTCGTCCAATTTCATCAATCACTGTTGAATTTATGATACAAAGCAACAAACCAAGACTGGTTAGTTTCTTTATTCCTTAATTTCCATGATACAAAGCAACAGAAGTAATTTTAAATTAAACATTATGCAATACTTGTCCAATGAGGTCTGAACACAAATAAAATATATATATTTTCCTAAATGGGTCAAATTTATTATGATTCCACAATACTTTCCCAGTCCCATTTGTTATTGGGAAAATAAAAATAGAAGCATGGTGGCTAAAAATTACTCAATCAAAAAAATAAAATATAATTGATTAAATATTGAGACATCAAATAAAAAAAATCATGTAGAAAGTAGAAACCCATCCACCTGATAAAACCATGCGCCGATCCACCATACACCTTATGAACTGAAAACGCATGCAACTCTTCAAACGGACATTTGCTCTTCTGCAGCAAAAGCTAACATACGCCGGTGGGATTTATTATGTAGTTTTCCTTCTTCTAGTCTGGTTTCCGCTTACGTATGCAAGGAGGTGTAACCGCCCAAAGAAAACATTAATTAATATGAGCAGTAAAAATAAATGTGAAATAATAGAAAAATGGGTGTAAAGTCAATAATTGCTTACCAAAGACATGAAAATCTGGAGCGAGCTTTCCTACAGATTCAGGAAAGTGAGTGAGCTGTCGACCAAGGATCCTGTGCTTGCCACCTGTGCAAAAGCGGTAATTTGATATATGCTCATTTATGGTATAATTGTGTTATTTATCGAATTAATTAATTATAAGCTACTTCAGGTAATGAGGTAAAATAAGTATCCGGTAGATCTTAACCGTTTATTATACACCATGGGTCTATGTGTTTTTGTGTGTTAATCATCCGTAAATATTTATGAGATATGTTTCATAGTACCATAAAATATATGGTCTATTAGCCAGAACCCTCAATATTTATATTAAGGGTAAATTTCACTCTGCTGAGAACTAATTTATCCCCTCGTATTCTCAATTTCATCAATTTACCCTCTTGTTTTTGTACAATTTCCTAATACAGCCATTTCCTTCAACTTTTGTCAATTTTGACTCTAACGCTATTTAGTCAACTCTGTAAATTACAAAATTGTCACTGCCTATAATGCGTCGTGTCTCCTCCGTCAATATTGTCATTTCTTCTTCTCCCACCCCTTCCCCTTCCAAGATATCCTCAAATTGAACCCCTAACTTAGTAAAAATCAAGACCCAAAAATTAATCGATTCCACCCAGTGCAAGGAAAAAAATATATGAATGTTTGAAACTTTCTCTTTTCTAATCTCGAGAATCAAAATCGAAAAAATTCAATATTTACGTCAATATTTTGACTCTTGACCAAATGGCGTCAGAGTCAAAATCGAAACAAGTTGACGAAGAGAGTTGTATTGGGAAATTGTACAAGTACAAGGAAGTAAATCGACGAAATCAAGAGTACGAGGTGGTAAAGTGGTTCTTGGACAAAGTACAAGGAGGTAAAGTGGAATTTACCCTTATTTTAATTCACTTTGTTATTTGCATTTGAGAGAGTGGGCGTCAGTGCCCTAGAGGTTCCTAATTTCTCGTATCTTCATTTTACCCTTATACTATTGCAATTTCCCTTTCCTCTTACCCACCATCTATTCTATTTTCTACATTTTTCTTTTCTTGTTTTTAATAAATTAATTTTTATTAAATTTGTCATTTTTTTTGTGACAGATTTACCGCATTTAAAATCATAATCAACTATAAATTACACTAATCAACAAATTTCTTTTCTTTATTTATTAAAATCATAATCAACTACAAATTACACTAATCGACTACAGATTTCAGTATTCAACTACACAATTATAACACCAACTACAATTTATAACAAAAACAACTATAAAAACACATTAACCCAACTACAAATTTTAGTGACCAACTACATGCTACAATTTATAATAATCCACTACAATTTATCGAAAACAGCTACAAATTCATCAAACCCCACTACAAAATCATTGAAATCATCTATAAAAATATCGAAAATCAACTACAGTATTATGGAAATCTACTACGATAATAGTGAAATCAACTACAAAACCACTGAAACCAACTACTAATTATTGAAATCAAATACAAATAATTAATTGTATTTTGTATCGCGCGACTAAATCGTAAGAGAAGGGCCACAACCAGTACCAAATCCTAGCCTCGCCGTGTAAAAACCATTGGCGTCACCAAAACCTAGATAGCAACCAATACCAAATCCTAGAGCCGTCACGTGAAATCGTCGTTGCCGGAACCAATATTTTGTTGAATCACATATATGTTCAATTTCCAACTTTTATCCATAAAAGTTTCGATGATTTGAAGCAACGAAATTCCAAACTCCAACAATGGTGGGATTATATTCTTACTTTTGACAGGAATCACATAAAACCAATTTTGGAACTGAAACTCTCCATCAAATAATACGGCGGCCCGCAATAAATGGTTGCACTAGCTTTTCTGTAAGGAGCGGAGATAAGGGCGTCGGTGACGGTGGGGAGATGTGGCGTATGACGGTGGTGGAGGAGAGAAAAAAGATAGTGAGAGATCGAAAATGAGAGATCGATGTGGAGAGAGGTAGAGAGAGATCCAGAGTGGGAGAATAAGAGAAACCCTAATTGGGTTTGACAATTGATGTAGTGAGGGTATAATTGGATGGGTAAATTACAAACACCCCCCTGAGGTATGGTCAAATTACAAAAACACCCCTCTTGTTTGGATAATTACAACCACCTCCTCAACTCCTCAAATTTAGTGGAATCTTCGAGATTATATGAAATATTATCACTTTTGTACCCGTTTTATCCCATTCAAACTCTACATTATAAAACAAGATGATCAGAATATGTGATTTTTAACTTGTATATCTCAGTTTGTGGTGTATCGGAAACTGTATTTTTACACAAAATGAGTACAAACTAGAGCACATTTCACGGAATCTAGATGATTATTTTGAATTTGGCACCATAGGGGTGGAGGTGTAAGAAAAAATCATAGTTGAGGGGGTAGATGTAATTATCCAAACAAGAGGGAGATTTTTGTAATTTGACCATACCTCAGGGGGGGTGTTTGTAATTTACCCTAATTGGATTTGTAATAGATTTATGGGTCATGTTAGATTAAAGTACTAAATGAGGGTATCAAAAAGTAGGGTTGGGAATGGGTTGGTTTTTATCCACCAACCGACCCATTACCGACCATATTTGTAGGCGGATAATCAATTTTTAACCGACCCATTGGATCGGGTCGAAAATTTCAACCAACCCATCTATAAAGGGTCGGTTGGTGGTTTCTAATATTATCAAAAGTCGGTTGACCGATAATTATCGGTTATTATCAGTTATCCAACTATACTATTAAAATTTTATTAAAAATATAAAATAAAGCCGTGTTTCTTAAGAGGTTATTGAAATTATCAAAATAAGTAGTATTTTAAATTTTAAAACAATCAACAAAGGAAAAAAATTCGACCTCAATCTTCAACCAGTTTCTTTATGCCCAAGTTTAAATAAAAGGCCAACAAAACTCCACTAAACATCTTGTGCATGTTTGAAATTACTTTGAATTTCCTAATTATATATTTTCGTGAAATGTTATTAATTATTTTGAACAGATAAATAATGATTGCACCGTGGCATTACGCAAAATGTGGATATTTTTATCCCAAAATTTGAATTTTTTTTAAGTGAACTAGGTGGCGGGTATAAACCATCAACCAACCCATTTCGAAATCAAATATTCGGTTGTCAACCATCAACCGACCCACAAAGATTGGGTCGGCAACGGTTTTCAAATTTGAGAAAAAATAGTTTGACGGATAGGTCGGTTTTTACGCTGGTAATCGACCGACTCAACCCAGTCCCAGCCCTATCAAAAATGGTAAAAATAGTTTGGGCCTGCATTATCGGTAAATGTATTTTGAACTTTGAAGCGTCTCCCTAATTAACTCTAAAATAAAAGGGGTAATTTACGAGGACTCCCATAAGGTAAGTCCTAATTACAAAAATTCTACAATGTTTGAGTAATTACTAACATTCCCTTATGACAAGTTTTTTAGTGTAAAATGTAAATTCATAGAAAATGTGTTTTATTTGTTTTGCCCTTCAGTTATTTGAAATAAAACAAATGATGCATTACGATAATTCTTCTGAGGCAAGGTCTTATTATAAAAAAATCCATCATATATGTAATTACGAAAATATTCCTGAGGTATGTTGTTGTCTTACACAGTCAGCTAACTGCAGCTCCGACGATCCACCACCGGAAACAATTAAAAGGGAAAGAAAAAAAGAAAAAAGAAAAAAGAAAAAAGAAAAAAAATGGAATGTCAAATGTCAACTAATGCTGAGTCAACTAACCAGAGCTCCGACGATCCGCCGTCGAGAAAAATAAATGGTGAGTCAGCTAACCGAGGCTCTGACCACTCAGAATACTGTTGAAAAACAAATGAAATTATAAGATTTTTTTATTTTTTTTAAATAAATAAATAAAAATAATAATAATGATCAAAATAAAATAGGATAAAACAAACTCGAATTAGGGTTTGAAAGGGTAAAAATGATATGAGCTAATTATTTGAGTTTACATCAAATGAATTTTAGAACTAGGGGTGGTAAACGAGCCGAGCCGACTCGTGAGCTCGACGAGCCGGCTCGTGAAAAGCTCGAACTCGGACTCGAGGTTTTCGAGCCCGAGCTCGAGCTCGCGAGCTTGAGCTTTCTGACGAGCCGAGCTCGAGCCGAGCTCGAGCCGAATTTTAGTTGTTCATCAGCTCGCGAGCCGGATTTATTATTATTATTTTTTTTTTGTTTTTATTTTTATTTTTTATATGTTAATTTTATTTAAATAATGTATAATAATATAAAATATTATAGAAATAAATACAAATATTAAAAAAATATATAATCACAATTTAGTTTTTATTTTGTATTTTTTTAAAATAATTTTTAATAATAAAATAATAATTAAAAAATATTTATAAAAAAAAAAAAAAATTGGGCTCTAGCTCGAGCTCGACAAAATTAACACGAACAACTCGATGAGCTCGAGCTCGAGCCAGCCAAAAGAGGCGAGCTCGGCTCGAACTCGGCTCGTTCACACCCCTATTTAGAACTAATGGGTTTTACTTAAAAAATTAAAAAGACTTGGACTTATCCCACATTATGCAGGCGAGTGAAGAGGGCTATCTGAAATAACCCCTTGATTTTTATGTTTTAAGGCCAAAATAAAATAGGATCATGGATATCACTCTAGTGGTGTTGTTAATGTTGTGAAATGGAGAAAGGAATACTTGCAGGAAACGCAACACAACAATGAATATGTATTGTAAAATAATATGCATGTGAAGAGGATATGAGACACCCATACTAGTTATATCTGAGAGCTATTTATTTATTTTGAGAAAAATGTACTAAAAATTGAACATTAATTTTACAACTACAATCTGAGGAACACTTTACTCATCATGATCAGGCTTAAAAGAGTATTTAATTTCCATGAGTGAAGTATTTGTATTTGCAGCTTGAGACTCAAGTTGTTGAAATAAATGTAAACTAAAAGAAAATAGTGAATATAATTTGGGGTTAGTCTAGCTAGTCTTTGGTCCTGGACTTGTGGAGACGAGCTTTGCGGACAACTTGTTGAATTTGTCTTTCGTGCTCTTTTAGCATGTCTTCCATGTTCCCCGCACCCCCTGTAGGCATTAATGGTCCTGAGCAAAATATCCTGTTTCTCTTTGGTGCATATTCCTTAACAACTTTTGGATCGTTGTTGGAATGATAATTCGACGATGGCTCTATTACTATCTGATGCAGTTGTGAAGCTTGTTTCATAAGTTGTTGAGCCCCACTTCCGGAAGAGCTCAATGTCCGCACTAGAATTGAATGAACATCATCATCATCATCATCCATCAGCTTTCTTCCTACAGACTTCGGGTGCTGCATTATTATTATAGAATCATCAACTCCATTCTCCTCCTCCGCTGGCTTGTATTTTTCAATGTTGCTTTTATTATTTGATTGTCCCTGTTCCATTATTATTATTATTATTATTACTAGTACTACTACTATTATTATTATCATTATTATTGGACAAATGACAAGAGATTGTGCAAATAGAAACCTTGTCAGCTTCCATAGTGGCTTTTGTTTTTCTTGTATTACTTGCTACATATTCAGCTCCAACTTCTCTCACGCTCGCAGCTTTTCGCCTGCAGGGATAAGAGCCAAAAAACACATTTGTCATCCATAAGTGGCAATATTTGTGATCCATTATTTCTCAACTACATAACTACTTCACTTGCTTATTAATTCAGAAGGAAGAAACAACAAAGCTTGATTCCTTTTAATTGAATTTATATTTGTTTATTCCGAGTATCGTGTTTCTTACCGTCTTGCTTCCTGTTCTCGAAGCTTGACATCAAATTCTTTACTTGGACGATACTTGGGTAAGCTAGATGGAGCACATGGAAGAGGATCTGATGTGAAGAACTGAAACCATGAAAATACAAATTTGGATCGTCTTGTGTTCTTCAAGGAATATAATATCAAAAAGTGATGAACGAATAAAATTAAATACCTGGCTTTTGAGTGCAGAAGAAGCGGAACCCCTGAGCTCAGGATCAATAGAGAGGAGTACTTGTACTAGATTCAAAGCTGATGAAGGGAAGTCTTTGAATGCATCAGCAACACGGCGCTTGTACACGCGTTGCGACTTAAAACTACCGGTGTGAGGTAATTTTGTTTTTCTCCAGTATTCCTCTGTAGGGGAACCGCATAGTTTGAATATCTTGTGCATTTGCTCCACCTGCATTAATATATTAAAATTAGATATTAATTTGACACACAAATCATATAATGAGAATAATAATAATAATACGTAACCTCGGTTGTTCCAGGCATGATAGGCTTCCCTGCAAACAATTCAGCAAGAATACAACCAGCGCTCCACATATCGACTGCTACTCCATAATGTGTTTCACCTAACAATAGTTCAGGAGCTCTGTACCACAGAGTTACAACATGACTAGTTAACGGCTGCTTTCGGTTGTTAGCATCAAAGGATGTAGCCAAACCAAAATCTCCAATCTTAAGGATTCCGTTATTGTCAACTAGAAGATTCGAACCCTTAATATCTCGATGGAGAACACCACGACTGTGGCAGTGTTCAAGTCCCAAAAACATTTGCCGAGCATAACATTTTATCTACAATGCAATGCAATATACTGTTAACAACAACCCTAGATGGAGGATCTTTAATTCAACTGGAAAAGAAAAGAAGAGAAAGGAACGAACCTGAGGTTCGGTAAATTTGACCCTGGGTGAAGCAAGAAGGCCAGCAAGATCATGCTCCATGTACTCGAACACAAGGTACAAATTACCTGAAATCCTTGATGTCACAAGTGCTTCAAGCTTCATTACGTTTGGATGGTCTAACCTGCGAAGGATGCAAATCTCTCTTGCCATGAAACGAACACTCTCTGGATCCATATTAACGAATCTTACTTTTTTCATTGCTACAATCTTATCTGTTGTTAGGTCACGCGCCCTGTAAACACTACTGTAAGTGCCTTGCCCAATCTGCATATATACACATGACAAACATAAACCAATTTTCTTAAGAAAAAAACATAATAATAGTGCAGAAAGCAAAGGAAAACAAATTATCGGGGGACTGACTTTGTTGAGTTTTTCGTAAGAATCTGGAGTCCTAGGAGTCCAACCGCGAATAGCCTCCCCAGCGACGGAAGCTAGCCATGATGGCCATCCAGCAGCAGCACCACCATCCGGTAGCATACCGCCTTTAACTCTACTCATTGTCTGCTTAATTCCCCCATTTAATTTAGGCCTTTCAATTATTCTCGTTTTTCTATTTTCATCCACACTTGCTCTACTCGCTGCCACATCATTATTCAATTGCAATGTTGTTGTTATGTTAGACTTTGAATTCACAAGAGATGATTTAGGAATACCAAACTCGTGATCTTTTTGTTTCTCCTTTTCATTTTCAGCTGATGATACATAATAATCAGGTGCATTCAAGTCCTTTGAGCATATGCACCCCATCCTTTCTCAATAGAAATCTTCTGTAAATTCTGCAACAATTCATTGCACCCACAATTAAATCCAAGGTCACATAAACATGATCCCAAATGAAACATTTCAAGAAACACAAATGCAAAAAGCAGTTAAGGTCAAAAGACCAGATGAGAATCCAACTCTACAAATTCAGAAACATAACAGTACACCATATATATATATATATATCGATCACCTTACCTCCGATCCTTTTAAACAAGGATTAATTTGGTGGACAAAGAAAGAAAACATAATTGTGGTTGATCAACCTTTTTCTTCTTCTCCATCTTCCCTGCAAATACCCTGGTTAGTTTCTTCTCTTCAAATTAATTAAGATTTTTTTTTTTTTTTAGCATAATTAACAACTTTGTTATGATGTTTCTTAATTTGTTTCAACTACTTCAAGTTTCAGACGTGCGTTGCAATAAGACATGCACTAATAACTAGTAACACCTACCCAATCCCATCCAACAAGACATTTTCAAATTTTCGTTGACCCATAACCTTCAGGCTTTTCTCTTGATTGGAATTTTATTCTTGCATTAATTAAATATACATTGAATTAATGAGCTTTAAAAAAAAAACACTTCGCACATTGCCAACACTACTTTAAACCCATGTGGTTATTATATCCGGCCAATTTTTTTTCTAATTACTTACGGAATCTCCACAAACACATAATAATCCACTACATCTATATCTTTTAACTATTATTATTATTTTTATCTCTTACTTTCCCGCCTATTTTCTTTGTTTGTTTCATTTATTTAATAATTAATTTCATATTATGACAATTAAGTTTTCATTCTAATTATTATTGTCATTAATTAAACTAATTATTGTTTTCAATTTTGATGGCTATCCCTATCAGTGAGGTAAAAGAGTTTTTTTCTTTTCTTTGGACCTATTATTCAATAAGTAGTCCACATTACAATGGGCGTATATGCAATTGCCAAATTGCCCCCCTTAGGATGGAAAACGGACCAGTCGAATCGGAACAATTACTTTCGGAAAAATTCTAATTCTTTTTTTAAGTGAAAAAATCCATCCCAATTCTGGTCCAAAATTAGAAAAAAAACAGACTTTCAGAAAATGGAATGAAAAAACTTTGTTCCGAAATCAGAATTTTCCGGATCGTAATTGGCGGAAATCAGAAAATTCTATTTTTTTAGTAACTTCAAATATAATATTATTAATATTATAAGTGTAATTCTGAGAAAAAAAAGGTCGGAAAATTTGGAATTATTTTCGGAAATTGAAATCGGATCGAAAATCGGAATCTCATGCATATTCCAATTCCCATCCAAAAATCGTAATCACATTTTCAGAATTTGGAATGAAAAATATTTTTTCAAAATCAAACAAATTCATATCGATATCAGTGGAAAACCCTACAGTTTGACGCACAACATTTTTTATGGTCTAACCATTTCTACATAGTTTTTATTATGTGTACTTCGATTAAATTTGCGATGAACAACCATGTACACCAGACATAAGTCATGTGTGATAAACTCGAATTAGATAGCCGTTGGTAAGGGGAATTAAACTCGTGTCATATGATTACATGATCTCTTGCTCCACCAACTAGATCACCCTTATACTCGTTATACACATCCATGGGGAGATTTCTTGATTCCTTGCCATCTTTATAAGAACTTGAACCGATGCATGCTGCACTTGTACCTAAAAAAGAAATAGAACTCCAATACGAGAATCATGATTATCATTTGCATCAACCGACAAGGAATCTCGAGATCGATAAGTCATTACCACTTTGTGTTTCATATAGAGCTGTGATGTCTGCTTTGTTCTTCACCTTTTACTAATTTTTCATCAACTGCATTCTCTTTAACTTGTGCTACAATCTTGTCGGAAATATCCGCCACTAACAAGTCATGTTCATTCTGTTTTTCCTTTTCCAGTTCATCTAAAAATGCAGAGATGACTTTGTTGGTCCGAAAAGCTAGCACAAAAGGGTTAGTGGCGGTATGCACCACACCCTGCTGTATGAGATTTTCATCAAAATCTTCTTCATCATTTGCTGACGTCATCACGTTGCGCATGCTTAAAGATATCCTCCGTGTTTCCATATTAGCTTCTATTAATCTGACTACCACCTCTTGTCCAACACTCACTATACTACCAACATCCTTCACAAACTCATTACTCAAATTCGAAACATGAACGAGCCCATCGGTGAAAGACCCAAAATCAATAAATGCACCGAATGGTTGGATCGATCTTACTTTCCCGGTGAAAGTTGCTCCAGGGATAAGATCTTCGTTATTCACAGGTGGCATCTCACTCTTTCTAACATATCTTGAGCGTTTAAATGATCCTCCACTCGTCCCTTCAGCATCTGTAGCAGCACCCACTGAATGTACGTAAAAAACAGAACCAATCCGAATTTGCGAAAACGTTTGTAATCCAACAGATTTCGACAGAGGTAGTGTATATTTTTGGGCTTGTAACGTTTGTCGGTTAAGCTTTATAGTGATGTTGAATCTGGATAAGTAGCAGTTGCTCCTTCGGTTTATTGTAAAGGCAACACCTGAAGTAGGTGAAATGCTGTTTGTGGTGGTGCATGGAATTAGGGGAGCCATATATAATCAAGTTTAAGCTGGAATAATCACACCTGAGACACAAGATTGAGGTAAATGTATGAGATGATAAAGAATCATTTGTCTTGATTTAAAATTAAAACAAACCAACCACTTTCTAGAACAAATTCATAAGCAAACACACAATACAGTGGATACATATTACTGGAAAAATGAAACTACGGAAATAACTACTATTCATAATAATAATGTACATGGACAATCGCTTACACCGCTATTTGTAACAGGATACGAAACAAACTCATAGAATTGATCAAATTCCAATATTCCTAAAGAAGGCTATTACTATGAAACAAACTCTTAACTTGAATTTAAAGTATTCAAAAAAAGAAAACTTGCAAAACTGATTGAAAGCTAAAAATGATTTAACAGATCACGAAAAAACCAATTAGCGTACGTTAACAAGAAAACTGAAACAGCAGCAGCTATACGATAAACAACAATTACCAGTAACCCGAGAAACATGAATAATCGTACACCAACAATAGCTGAAAATTGGTTTTAAAATAAATAATTAGATGGCTATATATGCAGTATATCAGGCAGGTAAAAGTTAAAGAGAATGAAACAATGATACCACGACACTAATTAAAAAGAACACCGTACCCTTATAAGATTTAGAGAAGTAATATTTTTTTTTTCCTTTCTGTAGTAGCATATCACAATCGATTATGAGCTCATGTTGTTTTTGGCTTTTGAGTTTGTAATCTATGTTGTAGAGAATTGAGGATGATAATAATTTGTGGATATTATTACGTAATTGAGAAGGGAGTATATATATATATAGTTTACATAACTTGTAATATATTCTAAATATATCCTAACTAATAGAATTCTCAAGATAAACAAAAGAGATTATAAAAGATTACAATCAACCACAATATATAAATGTGATCTCCTTTCCTAAATGGGCACTTTACAAACAAGTCCATCACTAGATACTTATTTATAAATGGTCCAAACAATAAACTCTTTTATAAAAAAATTCACACATGGTCCAAAGGTTAGTAAAACATTAAACTAGCCCCTCACATTTTAATATGCTCTAATTTCATCATTTAATTTAATTTAACCTCAATTTGACCCCAAGTTTCCCAAATTATTCTATTTTGACCCAAAACACAATTTTGTGGACAATTTCGTCTGTCACCGCCGTTGACTTTTTTCCTTTTTTTTTTTCCTTCTTGATTTTTCCGCCACCGGTTTCCTGCGTTGACTTTTTTGGTTTTCTTTTTTGAATTTTTGATTTCTTTAACATCTTTTTCCCCCGTTTAAACAAGTAATATTGATGTGGCAGACAGTAATATTAACAATATTATGGTTAAACACAGTAAATTAACTATACTACGGTTAACACAGTAATATTGCTATATTAATCTCTAACACAGTAATATTAACACAACAAAAGTCATTATTATTGTGTAATAAAGTAATATTAATAGGTTGACCGTTCAACAAAGGTAAACATAATAAAAAGCCAAAAGAATTAATATTACTGTGGTTGACAGTAATATTACCGTCAGCCACAGTAATATTATTGTGATTACAATAATATTACAATAATAGACAGTAATATTATTACGTCACTTCGTCAATAACTCAAAAAAAAAAATCCAAAAAAATAATAATATTAATGTGGTTGATAGTAATATTATTGTGTTTAGAGTTATTTTACTAGTAACTACAGTTAGGGGTGAGCATTCGGGTTATGACCCGACCCGGTCGGGTTTTACCAGACCGAATCGGGTAATTTTGAAGTCAACTGGGTACCCAATCGGTTACCCGGCCCAAAAAAAAAAAAAACTAAACTACGTAGCCCATTTCATCCAAGCCCAACACAATTTCTAGCCCATCTAATGCTATATCATCTATATATTCTTTTTATTATTTACTATTGAGTTTCATCTAATACATTTCATTTTGAGCTTCCAATTCTTGTTTTCATATTGCAACAATATGTTTAGTCGTTCAAGTTTTTATATTGGCACCTAATTTTTTATTATTTTTTATAATAAATAAATAACTTTGTAATAGGTAATAGTTCGAATATCAACATTATTATTGAATATATTGATTCCAACAAAAAAAAAGAGGAAGAAACCCGAACCCGACCCGACCCGAGCCGAAATAACCGGGTACCCGATTGTCGGGTATCCGGTTATTTCGGGTCGGGTTCGGGTAATGATTTCCAAGCCAAAAACCCAAATAACCCGATCCGACCCGAATGCCAGTACAATTACGGTCAACAGCGGAATCCGGCGGTGGAAAAAACAATTACGGTAAACAGCGGAATCCGACGGCGGAAAAAACAGACAAAAAAAAAATCGAAAAGTCAACGACAGAAACCGGCGGCAAAAGAATATTTTTTGAAAAAAAGTAAGTTTTTTGAAAAAGGGAAGTAAAAAATGGAATTGTGTGGTCAAAATTGATTAAATTGGGGTTACAATTAAAAGTTGAGTGTAAAGGGTTTGTGATAATTTTGTCGTATACATTTATTTTTCCTTTATTTATATTTATAATAAATATTAAAGTGATGGGCTTATTGACGAAATAGATATAACTCCTAAACCTAGAATAATAAAGATGGTTGGTCAGGGACTTATGCACAAAACCCCTTTGTAAATATCTCTAACAATCTATAACCTATTAACGACTCATTGCCCTTCCAAATCATAAAAGTAATAGGACGTGTTATTTCCACCTTCAAAATATTTTATTTCACAACCAAATTAAATATATTTCTTATGACGGCGGATATATGCAAGCCCACAAATTTCTTTGTACAAAAAAATAAAAAAGAAAGGAAAAAAAACTCATTTCCTTTGTGTAAATCCAAATAAAATAAATCTACAAACACACCCACTGTTTCACAATCTAAAAAATCCATTCTTCTTCTTCTCCTCCTTCTTCACAAACCACCAAGACTCTAAACACCAAAACAATCAAATAATCACCAAACATTTACCATGGAGTCGGAAAACAAGGAGATGGTGATTTATGAGGGTTGAAAAAGTAATAAGATATGTGTTAACCGTTTATTTTAGTTTTTGTGTCGTTTTTTTCTTTTTTTTAAAAAAAAAAATCAAGGATACCAAAAATAGGTATTCACTGTTCGAGGTTTTCAAAATTAATTGGTATACACGTGCCGATTTTACAAACACAAAATCGGTATTACAGTGCCGATTTTTCAAAAAAAAAAAAAACATCGGTCTGAATATGCTGACTTTTTCAAAAAAATCGACGCGTACCCGCTGATTTCCCAGCTCCGATTTCAATCTCAAAATTTAATCTTAAATCGACCAAACCATTGCAACCCAACAAGTAATTAACATCGATTAATTTTCAAGGAATCAATGCTTGATTAATGTTTCAAATTTACCAACAAAAAGTCTAGTATAAAAAAGTGGTGGGTTGGTGGTGGTGGAGTGCAAGTGGGTGGGTTGTATGCTGGCGCCGGTGCGGTGGCGATCTCTCTGATCGGCTTCGCGGTGGTGGTGCGACGTCGTTCGTGCAACGGCGGATCAGATATTTTTCTTTTTGTTTTTTGTTTTTTTTTCTTGGTTGGTCTCGAACAAATTAAAAATAGGATTATAGGGTTTGTGTTTGTATTTTGGTAGTATTTATGGATGAGGGCATATTCGTCCTCTTTGATCTTGATATAAGAAAATTAGATAAATTTGTTGGCTTGAACTAAGGAACCCTTTTATGTGTGTTTGAACAAAGAAAAAAATGGGCTTGCATATATCCGCCGCCATTTCTTATTCTACCATTTTTCCTCTTTCACTCATATTTTGTACAAATTTATAAACGGTTCACAACCAAACTAATTAGAATATTCACAAAAAAACTTTACCATTTCCCACTAGAATCTTTACCATAAAATCCCACCATCTCCACCTTAAGCGAAAGATACCTTCGTCAGAGGAAAATACGCAAATGTCAAAAAAGAGCAGGAATTCACATTTTTGTAGAAATAAAGTAAGAGCATTCGTGTAGAAATAAATTATATGAACAAATTAGAGATTTTTGATAATGTTGTTTTCGGCGGATAAAAATTTAAGAAATGAGTTACATTTTATTCAGCACAATCTACCCATAAATTGATTTATATTGGACGATTATTAGAATCGTCGGTTACCCATTTAGGTTTAATTTTGGAAAAGATTAATTGTGGGGTAACATTATAAAATTTAAAGTTCACAATTTTGTTGTGCAAAATTGGATGAAATGCTCTGATACATTAACACAAGTTGCAAAATCCGCGGATCATCTGATATGGACGTTTAACTATCTTATAATAAATATTTTTGCATAAATATTGCGTTGCAAAACAATATTAGAACAAATGAGTATTAACTGAATATAAGGGAGGACGGTGGATTAGAAATCTGAAGGTATTTATAATATTCATATAAATTTGATGGTAATTGAGATAATTTGAAGTTGGAAATAACATCACTCAAGTAAAATTATTTTCTTTCCCCACGTGCAGGACCAAATATAGTCCATTTACTAATCTATATAGGGCTCGTTCGGTTACCGCAATAAGGTTCTAGTGACTTAATAGTAGGGTCTAATAACATGTTTGGTTGGCAAGATTCACATTTTTTCAAACCCGCTACTAAAATCAAAGCCTTCTATTAAATGCTACTATTTTATTAAATTAGTAGTATCCCTGCCCTTGACATTAATTTTATAGGGGGTGACTAAAAATGAAAAATGCAATTTTATTCTTAAAACCATATTTTATTACTGTTAACTAAGTGGTTTTATAGACAATTCATATATAATAATTGATTTTAACAAATTTAATAGCAAATATAATCTAAGAAACCGAACATGATACTAACTAAATAATTAATTAGTCAGTAGAGAGTTAATCCAATCTCATGCAATCCAATCTAACCCAATAGGTAACCGAACGAGCCCATAATGTATAAAAGTTCAATTTACACCTAATTGATCGACACTGGTCAATTTAAAATGATGACATGTTCTTAATTATCAAATGTGTCCATTGTTGGGAATCAGACACGTGTACGCAACGGAAAACAAAAATTTTATGCGAATTAAACGAATTTAAAACACATAATCACATGCCCGATAAATGTAAACAATTAATTGCTTACCTTTGCGCTTCCAGCGA